CGTTTTTAGATTATCGTCATCCTTCCTCCAATCTTTTCCTAAGCATAAGACTTGGAAACTTGGCATCAATATGCAAGTAAAACATTTAAAGAGTGATAACGAATGGATGAATAAAAATGAAAAGAACACTTCAAGATAAGCATACTTATGGCATTAAGATTTTCATTCAAAAATAGACAGGTTTCTATATGCAAGCAATGTTTAAACAAACAAGCAAGAATACAAATGAAAATGCAGTAATGAAACCAATGATTGCCATCATTGAGAAGACTTGAATCCATATGGACTTCTTAATTATGACGACTTCTTGCAGTCTTGATGCTTAAATGGGCGAGAGAATTCCCTTTCATATTTGTTGTGAACACGACAGTCTCTAAAATTGATCTCGTCTTGGACCTTGTCTCTGGATAACATTACATCTTCAATCGAATGGCCAGGTGCCGCTAAATAATATGCATAGAAGATTCTTTCAGGAGGACAAATGAATGATTTACCAAGCGAATCACCAAGCTTCTTATGCCACAAAGAAACAATATAATTTAGCATTTATCATATCAGAAGAGGCATCCAGCTGGTGAGAAAGGGTCTGGCAGTTGGCCAAATAGGAACTGGTCTTTTGAAAGAGACGCCAGATAGGTGTTGGACTTTATACTTTAGCCCCTTTACAGTCTTCAATATCAAAACCGGGTGCCCCGTAATATGGGATACATCTAGCATGTGCATCACAATCAGAAGAGATGTTTGTGGGAGGAGGACCCCAAAGATCAGAGCTTCCAATTGAACTTCCACTAGGCGAAGAAATAGCTGGATGTAATACGCTAGGATCATATCAACATGCTCATCTGGCTTCTTTTATCTTTGCTTAAAAGCTTTGTCGCACGAATTCACTTGGGGAACAAAGACTGGCTACTGTCGAATAGATCAGGGAACGCAAAGCTGTGGAGAGTTCCCCTTATTGAATAGTCATATGCCCTGATGTGGTACCCATAACTGACGTTGGTATCATGATCTGGAAGGGAATTTATAGACGGTACCGAAGTACGGGGTTTAACCCACTGAACCTAAAACATGTATGGAAACTAATGAGAATGAAGCACTAATATAAGATCAACTCTTCTTCAGGCATATTCTGATCTCGTTGGTAAAACAAGTTTCTTTAGTTCACGTAGTAAATGGGAACCATCTACTGATAAGATGTTCCAAGAATTCAAGATCATGCAGTAATCCATGGTTTATAGAAATTTCCAAAAGATGAGGAGAATAGAGAACCTCTGTTGCGGTAGTAAGTGTAGGATTGTTGATATAATCATCAAAGCTTCTATGACCCGACTCACCTGAGTCTTTAATTGATTATCTTCCTTCTTGAAGAATTTCCGACCACGGGCCAAAGCTTGCATGTATACCACACGAAGTTGTTCCATAAGCAATCTCTGAAGATGTACAGTAAGAATTCCAAATTTGTAACTCTAAAGAGAATACCAAGTATGAATAAGAATCCCCAATCTTTGAGTACTTGTTATGAATGCATGAATATGCATGGGGTGCATGAATGGATGCCATGTCATGTTCCGTCATTTCCAAGTAATTTACATGCTTTTATTTTGATTTTACACAGTTAAGGGATGGAAAAGTTAAACATATGACTTGCAAATATGATTCCTTGGAAATAATAGAACATGTATGTCAAGCATGTGATTAACCATGTTATGTATGCAAAGACATGGGATCAAAGTTCCATCATTCCTGAATATGATTGATGCACTATTTCTGAACCATATGAGTACCACCAAATCAAAGGTCCGACATAACTTCTGCACATACAAGAACCATGTATGATGTAGATAATCAATTTTACGGGATCAAGGCTTCTGGAACACTGGATACTGTTGAACCTTTTTTGAACATGTTGGTAATAGCAAGATTAAAGGACCGATTGTACCTCCAAATAAACAAGTCAGGAACTCAGAAAATAAATTCGAGAACCCCATAGTCACCAACAGAAAATACGGCCAACATCTGAACATAGTCACCATCTGTACCTGTAAAGATTATCCCCTCCCCACTCATGTGTAAAGACTAGGTCAGGGTAAGCCAATGGTAACTCAAAATCACGGGTTCGTTTGAGAATACTATCATCGTACACCTACGTGATAATGATGGCATCTATTAAAACCTCATCTGAGCATGGACGACACAGCCGTCTAGGGTAATCTACATCCTCTATCTGTTGTGTTCCACTCTATTTCTATTGTTCCTAGTGCACTCCGGCTTGGATACTAGGCCTTTTACCTCATAGTAGCACCCACCCCAACAGTGAAACAGATTCAATACAACAGTAGTATATGGTGGAAACAGAAAAATGTAATGCATACATATACTCATATAATCATGTATGGATGAATAAACTATAAAGCATATAAATAAACACCAAAAAAAAGAAAACAAGAGCTAAGAGTAACTCTGGGATGGACCAGCATTTAGTCAACCTGTCCCCAGTGAAGTCGCCAGCTGAAACAACCGACTGAAAATCATCAAATAATGAAGTAACCATCAAATGTCTTTTATCCCACATGAAGGGATAGGTGAACATCGAGAAAAACTGAGAAGGGAGAAGTCACGGTCTTGTGACCGAGAGATCGGGTAAGGGAGTCGGTTACATGAGGGGAAGGTATTAGCACCCCACACGCCTGTAGTACTCTACAGTATCCACTCTTGTTATCTATCTTATGGATGTGTCTAATCTATGCTTACTGTACTAATGAGAAAGAATGCATGCAAAAGAAAATGGAAAATAATGTAGGGAAAATAAAGTTGTGTTCGCTTGGGCCCAACGCTAATGCCTACTTATACTTTTTGAGGAATTAGAGTTACCATAGTTCGGCTAACATGTTTTGTTTGTTTTGTGTTTTTTATGAATAATGTTAATTTTGCCTTTTGCCGCAGCTCGACCTTTGGAGACGTGTTGGCACAAAAGTAAATTAACATGTCCTTACGTGAAAATGGTTTTGAGTTACACCCTCAAGGCAAGATGCCATTTTTGATTGGTTTGTGCTTTGGTACCTTGAAAAAGGGTTTAAGTGTGATTAACATTCTTAATGATTTGTTAAGAAAAATAAAGTTTTAGTTTTAATGCGTATGCAAAAAGGGGAAGAAAGAGTCTATGGGAGACTAGCCTATTCTTAATCCTAATGTTATCATACAATGGTTATTCTAAGGTTTAGATTAACAAAAGGGAAACATATACCTAATGTTATCATACATGGTTTTCAACCTAAAGTCTAACTTGCATCCGAAAGGAATAAACACATCCTAAGGGAACATGGTATAGTAAGCAGGTGAGCAAACAAGTTCAAAAGAGCACACATATAAAATGGTAAAGAAAATAAATGAAATGCTTTAGTCAAGGGGAGCGGATCACCCGAGATAAACAAACGTGAGTGAAATATAAAAGAAGAGAAATTCTTTAACTAATGGGATCGTATCACCCAAAGCAAACAAGCGGGAATAGGATGTAAAACAAAAATGTGATGTCCAAAGCGACTGGACACCTAACCAAGATATAGAAGATCGAGGTAGGAGACAAGGAAATATGAATAATCACAGTGTCAGCATTAGACAATTAAAACTCCTAACAAAGTGTGAGGGTTCAATTTCAAAACCCATTTCCACTTGACGACTCGATAACTAGAGTAGTCACAACTCTAAAGCATCGTGGTGCATCACGAGCTAAGGATGACACAGACGAAATTGTGGGGGTTAATTACTAAACCTTTTTGCTGGCTCCTTTTTAGGACTTATCATTTGTAACATATGCGAGCACAATTGTAAATACACCTGTAAAATACCTACACAAAGGTAGGATTTTAAACAAACCACACACAAGTAGCACACAGTGGCATATAATGCAGAATTGCCCTAAACGGGTCCTTAAATAAACTAGAGGGATTCCTGACATGATCAACAACGGAGACCCCCATCATACATCTCTATCCTAGTTCTCGTGGAATTATAAAGAAGTAAAGTTCCTACTCCTCATGATATCTAGAAAGCAGTAAAGTGCTGAAATGAGATAAAGAAGAGAAAATACCAAACAAACAAAAGTTTGTAGCACAACAAGCAAAGCAGAGAAACCCGGAAAACTTTGAGTAAGCTTCACCAAGTCAAAGAGAAATAATCAGAATTCCAATTCTCGGAATAAGCGTCAAAGCATCGTCGATGTGAAAATAAATCATAATCGGAAACTCAAGCATATCCGCATATCACACAATAAACCTGCATAAAACTCAAATCTCAACAAGCAAAGCTGAATTACAAAATCTCAAGTAATCGAATAATCCTGATTTAATTCCTAAAATCAAATATAAATCTAACAAATCTTTATTGATTTTATTATTTTTATCATACGAAGAAGAAGTTCAAATAAATCTAAACAATTATCAAAATCGTTCAAAAGAAACTACAAAATAGAAAAAAGAGGGCCAAGGGGGGGTTGCAAACTGGACTCCATGTAGTATGATGCAGTCTGGGTGCTAGGCCCAGCCGGATAGAGTCCATTGCCTTTTTTTGTTCACAAACATCCAAGCTGCCAAAAATATAGAGTGGGCTTAGGAACAATTCGTGTTGTAGCAGAATGAGGTGTTGAAGGCCCATCCTGAAAAGAGCCCAAGAGGGCTTTTTTTTGTTTGCAACCAAGGCTTCTCCAAAAAATATGCAATGGGCTTAATGCAAAGGATAAAACTTGGTCCACTTCTAACATGATCAATATGAATCCACAACATCACCTAATTTGAAATTTTAGGGTTATAGTTGTGCCTGTTCAACTTCTTCATGGAACAAAGATCTTTTCTCTTCTTCCCTCTCATGCCGTGAAACAATTCTCCTCCGATCAACATAATCCCACCGCCATTCCTATTATACTTCTCTAATTTGGACTTCAAATCTGTTTCCGATCATTTCCGCTCAATCTTCGATCGTCACCTTCGGTCACCCCATTCTTCAATTCAGCCGTTTAGAAAACGCGTCTTCTCCATAAAATCTTTCTTCATCTTTCTGATTCGACGTTTCTGGATTCCTCGGGTTTGATTCTTTTTCTGAGTTATGAGTTGTGGTTGCAATTTGGATGAAGGTGATAATACAAACCTTGTTACATGATGCATATTTATGAGGAAGCTTAGCAATATTGTGGTGGAGATGATGATAGTTATCAAATATTTTGGATGATGCTTGAAGATGATGGCTATGGATTGGATGTTGTTAAGATTGTAGATGCGCATTGTTGATTACGGAAGAGAAGTTGTAGAAGTGATAATCATTGTTGGTGGTTGTTGTAGAGAGAGAAAAAGATGCGTTGATAAATGATGTGAATTGAAGCAAGCTTGAAGGAATCACGAAGTGTGATGAAGATTATGTAGAGTTGCAGAGAAGATAAAGGTTGGTGATGAAGGATGGAGTGTGAATGCAAAGAGAGTAGAGAGATATTTCCAGATATTTTTGGTGATTCTTCTGTAGAAGTGAAGAGTGGTGAAGATTTTGTGGGAAGGTTGAAGATGGTGAAGGATCTTGAGGAGTTGCCGAGAGAGAGTCGAAAGGTGAGTATTCTATGTTCTTATATGACTTTTTCTGGTGAATGAATCCCCCCTTTGAATATGTTATGTTTTTTTGTTTTAGATCTCTGCTAGAAGTTTGTAAGAAGCTGTTAGGAGGTTAGAGCTGAAATGGAATTCGGTTAGATGTTAGTTAGAGAAATTATGTTATTTTTCTGTTATAGGTAGTTGGCATTGGTTAGAATTTATGAAATTTTATTCTGCAGAACTGGTCGTTATTATGAAGAGGCAGTTAAATTTGTTATGGATGTATTTCTAAATTCCCTTTCCTCTGCATTTCCTTCTTGAACAAGACTGTGATACTTGAATGGCTTAACAAGGCATGAGGAGGCTTTTCGTTATAGTAGTTTCAAGGTTATTTCAAAATGTTTAGACTGTTTTAATTTTGTATTGATTTAGGGATGAACTGGTTTCTTTGGTATTTGTTGCGAACAGGGTACGGTATGGACTTTGTTTTGTTTGGAATTTGATGGTGTAAGGATAAAAGGAAAGGTATCATGGAGTTTGGTTGGCTTGAAAGATGGATAAAAGATAATATGAAAGCAATGTGATCAAGACAAGAATTTTAGGACAAATTGGATGAAATAGGCTTGGGACAATTGATGCAACTATATTTTTTGTGTAATGCATCTTGGTGTACTTGTATAGGATTTTGAATTTTTAAATATGATGGGATTAGATGGTGTAATGTAAAGGCTAAGACTTTGTAATAGGAATACTTTATTGAATCAAGTAGTGAATAATCTTGTAATAAAATTTGGATATGGCTTGAAAGTGTGATAAATATTTTTGTTTTGTAATGAGGCAATTTGAAACATGACATGTAATTTTTAGAAATACTCCTTTCCATTGTTTCCCTCCATTTTCCTTTGAAACTTCCAAGTCTTTTCCTTTGGCTGTAGCTTGAATGGATTTTGTAATGTCTTGCATCTTAGAAATGACCTTAGACTTGAATCCCTTGAATAATCTTCTTACCTTAGCCTTAAATAATACCTTGACAAATCATGACCTTAAAACTTTTGACACCGATTTCTTACATGCATTAAATGAATTTGATGATGAACTTTGAGGATAAAGTTAAATAATGACGAATAACACTTGAAATCGCACTTTGAACCTTAAACCTCAAATTTGTAACTTGTTTTTTTTTCCAGAAAATATCACCACGGACAAATGCATGTAATCTTTGATAAACTCGAGCAAACTTGAACTCATGGCATCAAATATCACTTGAATGAGTACTTCCATAATAACGAATCTATACCAATTCAAATCTTCAATCCCTATAAATCTGGCACTAAAAGTGCAATCCATAAAGGTGTTTGAGCACTATAATGACAACACCTTTTGCAGTATAAAAACCAATGAACCACAGGTGAAATGTTGGCAAACTCAAGTAAGACAGGATATAAACCCTAATCTTCTCGAGATGTACCAATGAATGACCAAACCCTACTTCAAATGCTTCTTGAAGTCTCTTGATGAAGAGAAACTTGTAGCTAGATGGGGGAGAAGTTCATAATAATCAAGAATCCAAACCCTAGCTCCACAAACCATAGTTAATGTGAAACCAATTGATTAAGCCTGAGTGAAGATGAGAACCATCAAAGCCATAGAGAAAACCCTAACTAGTGGAACCCTGATCCCATGCTACATTTATTAATTAATGATGCATTATGTGTTAAATAACGTAATGGAGGGTATGTTAATTCAAGACGTGAGATGCATAAGCTAGATAAAAGTGAAAGGGTAGGAAAAATTTGGGGTATTACACCAACCCAGAGGAAGGACTCGAACCAGGATCCTAATGGACGATAGTGTTTGATGGTGCCTCCAATGCATTAGGTAATGTCATTGGTGTTGTAATTACTTCTTTTGAAGGTTTCCATATTTCTTTCACTACCAGAATCTGCTTTGATTGTACCAAAAATATGGCCGAGTATGAAGCTTGTATCTTTGGGTTAGAAGCTGATATTGATTTGTGAATTAATATCTTGGAAGTATATGGAGATTCTGCTCTTGTGATTAGTCAGATCTGTAAGAACAAGATTTGGTTCTATAATATTAGCTCTGAGTTATTATGATAACAAATGAGTATGATTTTATGAACAGTTTTGTTGTACTAATGTTTGTTATTGTTGAGTACTTAATAAACAGTTTCTACTTCTGATGGATGGTGTGGCCAAGACATTAGAACAGAAATGATTCTGCTATTATGCTATATAAGTTCTATTGAATAGTAGCAAGACACTTTAGAAGGCGCTGAAGTGTAAACTCTAATATTTTTTTAAAGGAAACCAATCAAAAGGTTTGAAGACAAACGTTGTTACTTATGTCCAGATGTTGAAGACTCAAGCTTCTAAAGACAACATGTTCTAAGGAAACTAGTCTGGAGATCTAAAGACAGAAGTTGCTACTTACGTCCAGATGCTGAAGACTCGCGTTTCTAAAAGACATTGTGTTTCAAGAAACAGAGTTATAAGATATAAAGACAAATTTTCTACTGAAGTCTAGATGATGAAAGCTTATGTTTCTATTTATGAAGTTTTGAAGATAAGGGTTCTGAAGACCAAGTGTTGAAGACTCTAAAAGACAGAAGGTCTAAAGATTCTAAAGACTTGAAGTTCTAAAGACCTGAGGTTCAAAGAAAAGGTTCTCATAACCAAGTGCTGAAGACTATAAAGACGTAGTTTTGAAGACTCTGAAGACTTGAAGTTCTAATGACCTGATGTTATGTTCTCGCTTCTAAACTCATGCTCGCAAAAGCCTTTGAAGTGCAGAAGGAAAGAAGATAACATTAACGTGGTACAAACAGTGCATGGTATAATCAACGTTCCATTCCACTACCATGAAAGGACGAATGCGTCGCACGATATTGTCCCCCACGTTACTGTTCAAGTTGTCAATATTTCTGGAAATTCAAAGAGTGTCCCTCAATGATATTGAAGACTAAGAAAGAAAGCGGCTAACTACTGAATAGTCACACGAAAACATTGTTCATTGCTTTCATATTCTTAAGTCATTGTTCATAAAATAGTTTACATACTCAGCTCTTTAAAAGCAACATTCTTGTAAACAAAAATTGTATTCAAATTGTTGTTTGATATTCCTTAAGGGATCGGGTAGGTTTGTAGTCTTAAGAAGTCTAGAGCTTGCGAGTTTTAGAAGTTGTTAGTCACTTGTGGGTAGCTTGTGCATTGTTATAATCAGGTTGATTATTAGTTGATATTCCTTCAGGGACCAGGTAGGTCTAAATCCTTAAGAAGTCTAGGGCTTGAGAGTCTAGAGGTTGTTAGTCACCTGCGAGTAGCTTGTGCAAATTGTAATCAGTTTGCTTATAGTGAATTAAGTCCTCAATTGAGTGAGACAAAATCTCCTTGGCGGGTGGACTAGACTAGCTTGGTAATTTTCAAGTGAACTAGTATAAACATACATTTTTCTTTACTTCCTGTTCTTACTTATTGTTATTATCAAGAGTGAAGGAAAAAGCATTTTAACTTAAGGAGGAATATTTTTAAAAGAATAGTTTTATTTTAAAAACCCAATTCAACCCCCCCCCCCCCCCCCCCTTTCTTGTGTTTTTCACACCTTCAATTGGTATCAGAGCTCCGATTCTAAGAAGATAAAAAGTTTGAATTTTTATCAACACTTAATAGTGTCCAATACTGATCCAGTGTGTGTGAAAACCCCATGGATACATCCACTTCCACTGTTGATAATAGGGATAATGATAGAGATCACTATAGTTCAAAAACTCCTATGTTTGATGGGAAGAAATTTGATTATTGGAAGGATAGAATAGAAAGTTACTTTCTAGAATATGACTTGGATCTATGGAACTTGGTAGTTTATGGATACACTCATCCAATAGATGATAAATGTCATAAGATTGCAAGAAGTACAATGATTGAAGCACAAAAGAAAGTATGCAGAAATCACTACAAAGAGAGATACATTATTCTAAGTGTTATCTCATATAATGAATATGAGAAAATAACAGATAGAGAGATTGTAAAGTGTATTTTTTATTCTCTTCAGATGACACATGAAGGCAACTCATAGGTAAAGTAAACAAAGGCTTTGGCCTTAATTCAAAAGTATGAAGCCTTCAAGATGGAAGATGACAAATCTGTGGAAACAATGTTTTCAAGATTTCACACTCTTGTGGAAAGACTTAAGGTTCTGAACAAAGGTTACTCCACCGTAATCACATTAAAAAGATTATCAAAAGTTTTCCTGTTAAATGGAGACCAATGGTAACTGTTTTAAAATGGCAAAGGATCTGAACAACACCTCTCTTCAGGAGCTGATTAGCTCTTTAAGAAGTCATGAAATAGAGATGGAACAAGATGAACCTCAAAAGAGGGTAAAATCAGTTACTCTAAAGTCTACTTCTGGGAAAACAAAGGCTTATCAAGCTAAGGAAGAATCTGAAGAAGATTCAGATGATGATGAACTTTCCCTAATATCCAGAAGAATAAGTCAAATCTGGAAGCACTGACAAAGCAAGTTCAGAGGTCAAAGAAGGACATATGGAAGAGGTGAATCCACTTCTGGTCATAGAAATGCTTCTGGAAAACAAGTCACTTGTTTTTAATGCAACGAGCCTAGACATTACCAAAATGATTGTCCAAAGCTTAAGAAAGCCAAAAAGCCAAAAAAAAAGGATTACAAAGCTAAGAAGGGTCTCATGGCAACATGGGATACTTCAGAATCAGAAGATGAAGATTCTGATGAAGAACATGCAAACATGGCATTCATGGCCAGGACCAGTATGGGAGAAACAACATCAGAAGACGAACTGACAATTAATTATGAGTCAGACTCTGATGATGACAAAGAGGTACTTTCTTCTTTATCTCGTTCTGAACTTGAAATTGGCTTAACTAAATTAACGAAAAGGTATCAATATCTTCTAAGTAAACACAAAATCTTGAAAAAGAATGTTGTGGCTACTTCAGAGAACACGACTATAGATGAGCAAAGTGTTTCTGTTTTAAATGAAAAACTATTTGTTTTACAAAAATCAAACATTGCTCTAAAAAGTAAAGTGTCTAGATTAGAAGAAGATTTTCTCTCTAACACATTTGTTACTGAAGAAGTAATCAAATATGATAGAGATTTTCAACACTACATTGCTAAAAGCATAAACAGAAGAAAAATGGATTTAATGATCTATGGTGTTAGCAGAAATGGAAGTAGAGGCTTGGGGTATTCAGGACGATCAAAGAAAATTGATGAGACTCTGAATGTCAAACCAAAACCCCTTTCTGAACATTTTGTTCCTGCTGGCACATATTTGAAATGTCCAGAATAATAAGGTTCTGATACTTCTGTAACATGAACACAAACATAGAAGAAAACTTTTAAACCAAAGTATCATGCACAAATTTCACATGATTATTCTGCTGCACGAAAATCCAAAGGGGTCAGAACCTCTGGAACTTATAACAAAAGAGGACCCATAAAGTAGGTACCTAAGGATCAGATAATCTACATTGCAGATCTCCTTAATGGTGCCACTGAAACACCGGTAATGGTACCTGGATAGTGGATGCTTGCGACACATGATGGGCGAAAGGAATATGTTGCAAGATTTGGAAATTAAATCTGGAAACATGACCAGTGTTAGAAGCAACCAGAAAAGAAAACTTATTGGCTCTTAAAGTGTATAATCTAAGATGTTATCGTCAGAACAAGACCAACGGTAAATCTTCTTGAGAAACACTTCTGATCTTCAATGATTTCGCTTATGCCAGTTCATCTTCTGAAAAAAGTATGGATTCTGAACATTGTCTATCGGACTTCTATGAGTAATGTTTA